ACGTGGTATAAACGTATCGTCGGCGAATCACAGAAAGGTATGCAAAAAAATTCAATCCGATATTCCTTCTCGTAATAACATTCCAAGCAGGCGTCAGTTCGAATCGTCTATTTGTAGGTTAAATTTCGGGAAAAGGTGAAGGGTAAACAGACCTTATAGAAACGTGGCTGGGGAGCTCGGAATAATTTCGATTCCAGTGCCCGTTGCACGGTCGTTTACACGGGCGCATACCGGCGTGGGATATTTCAGTACATTGAGAAGCAAGGGGCGCGGCATCTTGTTTGGACACTTCTTTAAATCAATTACGAGTTCCTGGCAGGCAAGTTCGCTGGGCAAGTAGCGGGCTTCTACCCCTTCCAATTCGACGAAAGTTCGACGAGCACCACCTCCTCCACCACACGGAAACATAGCATCAAACTCTCGGTTTCCGGATTGTTTGCTCGGCTTCGACGGATTCAATCGACGCATTTGCGATTCAGATGATGATCGTGGCAGCTTACGCTCGTGAAATTCGAATATCGCAATTACCCTGCACCCGGGTTACTGCATACCGATTTTCAAAATTCCTCCCTCGCTTCTGGGGTTATGCCTCGTACAGTGCGTTGATTGTAAGTTTGTATAGATGATTCGTAGGACGAACACGTTGATTCAAATTGTCTTTAATACAAGTATAATATGTGGAATTTGGTTTGGTAGTACATGGAACAGAATTGAATTGGACGGAATATGAATTGGGGATACGTTATATGTGTAACTTATTTAATAATTTACATTAGAAAAATAATTAAAATATAAAGTAATAGAGTTTCATTCGCTTTATTTTGTTGTTGTCAAATTAATAAGATTAAATTTTTCTTATATTTTTCATAATTAAGCTAAAACGTGACAAATTTTGCACTCCTTTTGACATTTCTTTTTTATTATAAATATTAAATTGGTAATAATTAATTAAATCGATGTAATTTATTATAAAAATTATTTAAGAAATTAGTTAATTATATAAGGATAAGGAAATATCATATAAAGAAATTATTATTGTAATTTTGGAATAATTGATAGATTCGATGTTGGTAAGTTATTTAAAATTGGCGACAAAGCGCGCTGATGACTAGCGCACTCTAAGAGCGCTACTGAAACTAACTAAAGCAACAGTTGCGGTCCAGTCGTTACGGAGTGAGTGTGTTTCACATTTTTAATTCTAGTTATGTAACAAATAGTGATTTAAATGATTAAAATAGTGATTTATTTTATTAGTTTATATTGTTTAAGGAATATTTCTTCGTTAAAATGGACAACGCATCAGTATCAAAGGTAAAATACACCTGTTGCTTCTACTTACATAACCTTAGAATGTAAACGCGGTATTTGCCGCGCATTTATATCGCGCAATTGATTTAATGAGTATAATATGTATAAGAATTCAACGTTGAAATTTTAATTAAATGAAAACTAAGATTTATAAATCGAACATTTAATTATTATTATTATTATATTTGAAAACGAATATTAAATTTATAAAGAATTATTTATATGAGAAATATAATTATATTAATAATTTTCTATCGTAATAAAAATTATTTGACATCTTAGCGACATCTTGATTTTTTTTTGTACTTTTTATGCTATTTCATCAAAGCATATATAAATATTTTTAAAACAATTTTTATTTTTTATAAAAGAAGATAAATACTAGTTATAATACTTTTAGGGCATTTTTGTACATAAAGGTGCATATAAAATTGGAAATAAAAAAACAAAATTTGAACAACCAGATTATATAAATGAACCATGGCACCTTACTTATAAAGAAACGTGGGATGGCATTCAAAATGCCATGGAGGTATTTTTTGTATGCTAATTTGTATTAAAAATTAGATGAAAAATTTTACTTTTATACTCCGTCGCTATGAATTCTGTATTACATAGTATAATAAATTCTGTATTACATAGTAATGCAAAATATGTATTATATTTTTTGCATTAAAATTTTAGGATGTAAGATTAAATATGTTCCAAGAAATTTTAAATAATTTAGAATCTTTTGTTACTAAAGTCAAAAATAAACCAATAGAACAACTTGATGAAATACAGGCAGCTATTGTGTTAGCAGGTGATAAGATTAAATATATATTTAGAGTATTTTTCACAATTGAACGCTTTTTGAAACAATCGCATTGCAGGAGTTAATGTTTCTGATCATAAAGAAATGTTTCAAAGAATAGTTTCTAAGTTAGAAGTGAAAACAAAGCATATAGCAGTTTTATGGAGCAGAGACTCAAATAATATAAAAGATATTACAGAAAAATCAATTTATCAATTGATAAATAATGGAGAAGTATATATTTGATATAAAGTATTATAATATGAAAACATATGTTGAAAACGTATGTTATATGTAGGATATGTATTTATAGGATGAGGATACACATATTAAAAAGAATCAATGTCATATGAGAGCTTTAAAAGCATGGCACCAAGAGCATTGTGATCAAAATGATCCTCTTATTATAATATTAACTGATTTTGAAAGTATCCCTGCTGCAGTATTACATGATTTCATTTTAATTTTAAGGTATTTTCTATATTAGGATATTGTTAGAATATTTTTTCTGATTTGTGCATTAGGGTTATCGAATATATATTTTGTTTTTAGTGCATATGCAAATTCGATGAAATTTATTCTTATTTTTGGTGTTGCAACCACTTTATTTGCCATTCATAGATCTTTGACATATGATGTTACATCAAAATTAAATGTTCAAGTAAGCAATATGCATTGTAGAATTGTAGAATTGATAATAAGTAGATTATTAGAGATAATAATTGATTTTTATTCAGGTATTTCAAACAAAAAAACAAATTGATGTATTATCAGATGTATTAGAAAATACTGTTTTTGGTACAAATATTCCATTTAAATTGACTGGACGCGCGTTCCAATTATTAACGGATATCTTTTTATTTTATGATTTTTCTGTACAGAATTTTTTTCTAAGTTATAAGGTATCGATATCTTTTGTTTCCTTTTCAAGTTTTTGTTTATTTTCTTTGTCTTTTTTTGTTCTTCAATAAATTTTTAGATATGTATGATACAACATTTTTATGCAAATAATGTAAATTCTCTTTGTTGTCAACCACACAAAATAAAAAGTAGGATGTCTTCATTGACAGATGAAGATTTGAATGAAATTAAAAAATTGCCCTCTATAGAAAAACATATTCAACAATTGACAAAAGATGAAAACAAAGATGAATTACTTGAAAATAGTAAATTTAAGGTATATTCATAATCATTTTAAATTTAAAATTGTATTTTGCAATTAAAGAAATATTGAATTAGAGCTAGTTTAGCATATTTATATTCAATATTGTAGGAAATATTGATCCAAGTTTTAAATAATTTTCATCAATATATGCATCGGTTTTTGTTAATACTCAGATGTTTGCACGATTTCGTGTCAACATTACCAAATGCACCAATGGGTAAACAGGTATAAAAAAAAAAAAAGAAAAAGTTATTTCCCTCACAAAAGAATCCAAGGAAAATTTACAACATTATTACAGCTACGTGAATTTTATACAACAGTGGTTTATTTGAACAATCTGAAAGAATCTCAAGAGTATAAAGAATGTCTGCAATTATTGACCTTTTTATCTAAGCAGGAACTTCTCTCAAAATTGAACTCTTTGATAGCAATTATCACAAATTCAAAAGATTCAGATATGATAAAAGTCAAAAAAGATTTGCAGAGTTTTGAGAAAAGAATTGAGGAATCCAGTTTAGAAGTTGCAGAAAAACCTGTAGATATTGTTTCTACGGGTGAAAGACTCAGTCGACTTCAGTTGAAAGAGGTCTGAATTAAAATTTAATGATCTTTAAAGTCGAAGAAAGGAAGAAAATAGAAATCAATTATTTTTGCTTTGTGTTTCATTGTAGAAATTGTTGAAAATGTCTAAAACACACTCTAAATCGCCTTATAAAATAGCACAGCAGGATTTGATCGATTATTTGGACCAGAAAGTATTTTCTGTTTATTTGGTTAATCCTAATTATATACCAGGAAATGAGATATTTTGTTTCAACGATGGCAATTTAGCGAAGCAACATATTCGAGGATCTTTGAGATCTGCGATTCATACTGGACTAAACAATCCACAAGTGTACTTAAACGTGAGTGAGAAAAATATTATTTTTATAGTTTTATGCTGTGGTCATGGTGTGCTTTTAACGTGAATAGAATATATAATTTTTGAAAATAAGATGTTATCTTAATGAAATTATTAACAGTAAAATTTTAGAAATTTCATTTTATCTAAAATTTTACTAACCTGCAGTCATTTTCACTCTATTACATTTTGTTGATTATGTGCATATATTATAAACAAATATTATTCAATATATTTAGTAGTAATTTTATTAATTTATTATGAAAATATAAAGAATGAGTAATCAATCATACACATATTTTCATATACAATTCATATACATTTGTGAAAATAAAATTAACAAGTTTTATTTAAAATTCTATACATAGTGAAGTATCAAATATTTTTTTAAATGATTGCAAAGAAAATTCGTAATCATTTTAAATAACATACAAAATTTTAATATTGTAAAAAGAGTTGAATATGAAAATACTTATACTAATTGTAAGAATATTAAAGCTAAGAGAAATAAGAAAATAAAATACGAAAACAGTTAAAATGACTGCATCCGGATTCTAATATTAATAACATGATTAATACATAACTACATTTCCATTCATAAATTATTGTAATATTATCGTAATAATATTATTATTGTATAATGAACTTGTAATTCATTTTACATTTATGATTAGAGGGAAATCGAAATTAATAAATATATATTTTTAAAATCCTTCCACAAATTTCTCTTTAAACAAAAATCATTGATTTATGAATGGAAATATAAATGTACATATATAAAAGTACATAAATGTACTTTATCCTCTCTTTTTTCAAATCTTAACAATCAACAATCAACAATCAACTACATAAAATACAATTACAAAATTTAATAAATTCCAAAATTTTATTACAATTCACATTCATCAATTTTCAATCATTTAAAATATACATGCGAATCTAAGTTTCGTCATTTCTTTAAAAAAAATCCAGGATACGATGTTTTTCTCTTAAACTTTCTCTCGAAAACTCGTTCATTTCACGAAAAGAATACATCCTCTCATTATTCGCATTCGATACTTTTTTACTCTTTCTTCCTTTTTCATCTATTCTCTATTCATTCCATTCGAAATATTATTCGTTACAAAAGTATTCGTGATATTGATTCAATTGCTTTTCATCGAAAGAGGGCTGAATTCGCGACTTCAACGATCGTTTACCTCTGTTCACGCCACATTTATTGTTGCTTTTGATTCTTCCGGCATGTCATCGACCCTTCTATTCGCGCCTTCGTTGCAAATATCGATTGTAGATTTTTCGCGATGGCGGAAAAAGTACTTTGTCGATGTCTCCTGCCCTGCCCTGTCTGTATCCTAAGTTAATTGGAAATACATATTTCAGTGCGAGTGTTGCAAATTGGAGAACGACGACGCCATTCCGTCCACGCTGCCTGACCTCAGTATAATTTACAAGCTGCACTTGGAATCCAGGAAACTGATCAATATGTACGACTGGCTCCAGGTAACGACAATCCGTTTCGTGTTCGTGTTTACAGATTAATCACGGTTATACTTATGGTCACGTATGCCGTCCGTTTCCTGATTTTAATCGATACTCGTCGCGGCGTGAATGATTCACGCGAGTGCGCGCGGTTGTAAATGGGCTTTTTAGTCGGTGGAGGATATTTTAAGGGGGTTTGTTTTATTTTTTCGCGGTCGTTAAGCGACCGCTTGGAAAATTCACAGGCTCGCAGAGTTTTGGACAAAGGAAATTAAAATACATGGATTGATCTATGAATTAGTTGTGCTTGTAAAAAGGATGGTCAAAGGTAAGATTATAGTAAAAATTATATGGGTATTTTTGGTTATATTTTATTGGAAATTTATTGAATTGTTTTGGTTGAACTAATCGATTTTTTTGTGAAATTTTTAATTATGGTTTTTGAGTATGCTTTAAAATATGATTCGAATTCTATAGATTTATTTTAGTAGCAATTTGGTTATTTGTTATTCTGCGATGATTCACAGAAAATTCATTAATTTTAATTATATAGTGCATGAACTTTGTGCTAATGTAAATTTACTATAATTTAATAAAAATTTACGTATTTGTTTACAGATACATATCGATGCATTTTATTTTATTGCATCGAGATCAAAAAATACAAATATATCATAAATTTTGTTTCGTTTATATTTATTTCATTTCTCGTGGTATAAAATTTATAAAATTTATAAAGTTGAGTATATTTGTCGAATTTTAAAATATAATGCATTTAAAAAAATAATTTTCATTACATGTTAAATCATAAATTTTAAACGCTTTTCTAATTCTTGACGTTTACGTTTTCTTATTTGAAAGAGTTGCACCATGAAATGGAAAAATGAACGGAGATACGAGCATTTCTCGGGAATTCCATTTTCACGGATGTCGACCACATTCGTAGATCGTAAGGCGTTAAGCCACATTCGCATAGAAAGGCGGGTTTTTAATGGGGCAACAAAGTTTCGTTTGCCTTTGAGATATTGCCACTTTTAACGTTAAAATATTCAACTAATTTATCATAATTTTTTTAATTTTTTTCTCTTTTTTTCAATTTCACATATTTAACGATAAAAAATTTCATAATTATAAATTAAAAAAACAGAAAAATAACAGGTTCTTTATATTTGAATATTTTTTTTTCTATTTTAATTGTTCCATATTCGCATTAGTAGAATTTTAAATATTTTGAATGCATGCTTAGAATGCTAAATTTTAGAAAAATCCAGATCTTTGGCTTTTTATGTACGATATTTGAAACTTGGGATTTCAAGGATTAATCCTCTGCCTCTCTCATATAAAATTTTTTAGTTTGCATATAAAGTTGTATCATATCCAGACTAGACCACTTCTTACAGGCATTTTTAATTATCGTGGATCCAACAAGCAGTGCAAAGGAGCAAAGGGACGTGGATCCGAAATTACAGTATCCTTTTTCATTTTCTCACGTTCCCCACTGTCGAGGAGTAAATGGAACGTAGTAGGAAGATTTGTCTAGCCACGATGCGTTTGAAATTCATATCATAGCTCGTAATGGTGAAATCGTAGCCTCGTAGCGGTTACTCGTCGGGATCGTATGCCTCTTGTTTGAATAATTCACACGGGAACACGTGTGAATTTTATCATGGTTCATGGTATCCTTAACGGAGATTTAGAGCTCGTTTTGCTCAAGCGGTCGCAGAGCTGGAGTTTCTAGGTTTCATTAAGAGTTCACGAAAGAAGACCGACCATGTGAAACGACTCACATAATTATTATTTCTTGTTTAGTTTTTTCTACTTTTTTGTATTTTTTTCTACTTTTTTTATTTATCCTTTTATGGTACAAGATATATTCGAAAAGTTATATATATTTGAAAAGTGCAAAAGTATTCTTGTATGTAGATTTTTGTTAGTTTTTTTTTCAAAAGAATAGAAAGAAATACTCTACAATTGTTTTTTTTATTTTTTATCATAATTTTTTATTTTTTTATCATATATATATATATATATATATATATATA